ATCGGGAATTACCCAAGTCTGGGGTTAGCAAACCAAACGAGAAAACAAGCGTCCACATAAGCAAATATCAAACCACAATACAACACACGGAAGACATATTTCTATTCATACAAAGTCCTATAAATAATTCAATAACATATACACATCAATCAATTATATATAAATTAGAAACGCCTTAACCAAAACACCCCCCACCTGGCCCATTGGTTTACTCCAGGAGCTCATAAGCAGGTCACTGAGCTGCTTTTACTCTTTCACTCCACATCTTGCAAAGGAAGCAACCAGGAAAAGGTGCCCACTGCTAAGACACTTACTAACACACAAATACATGTGCAAGGAATTTAGGTTTACTCAGGTCCTTTTTCGTGACACAGGTAGGATGGCCAGTCCCCCTCTGTCCCTTCACTGTCCACAAACAGTCACTTAAATACTAACTGAAACGTCAAACCTGATAAAGAATCACCAAACTATACATATATTTCTTTTTTATGTTGGTTTTAAAATACAAATCCTCAAGCGAATAAAAATACAGGTAAGGGTAATGGAACCCCTGGTCTCTATTACACACCACTTTTCCATTCGGAAGTCCTGATGAATATTTCTGTATGTATGCTCGGTATGCTTTTAAAATTTTCAACTGTCAAAACTGATTTAAAATTGGGGTGGCTGTGCTCCAGATGGTGAGTGGGTGATCTCTAGTTGGAAGGTCAGTGGATTGCAACTGAACTTTAAGTTGCATTTGATGCATTCATAGGGGTGTGAGGGTGTATGTTTAAATGCGCTTAAGTATAGTTAAAAGCACTGCATGAACGTCTGTGTGATTGGGTGAATGAGACTTGTGGAGGAAAGCACTTTGCTTCAGTGCTCATGTGCAACAATCTGAGAGTCCCACCACTATGTGCTATGTATTTTAAAATAAAGTTGTTGGGGGTTTTTTTTTACTGTAGATTTACATATTATATAGTCACTGGGGGGGGAGACAGTTTAAAACAGGCCAATATTATCGGTTGCTTATCTATCAGTGTCAGCATTTACAATGCCCGACAAATGAAAATTAAAAAGTAATGGGAGAGATGAGTGCTGATGTTGCATAGTTTGTCCACTGTCCGACTTCCCTTGTGTGTGGAACACCACAAACACAATCATCAAAGCAGAGAGTAATTGAACAAATAAATAACTACACATAACAAATGTTTAGTTATTTATGAAATTGGTTCATGGTTTGAGTTTGTGGAGGGAAAAAAAATAAGCACACCTATATCAGACCCTAGAGTTTTCAAATGAAGATTAACACTTGAATTTTAGTGTTAGTCTAATAAATGCTATTTTAGTAACCTCTAATAAACAGGATTAGCGGACAATGATTAGCCTTGGGAAGGCACATAAATTCAAACTGATTAAACATAAATAACCCTACACAGCTATGGCAGATTAAACAGATTGTATTAGCTCTCTCCTTCTGTGTAACTTGCATATCAGTGTCTGGATTACAAAAACTCCCCATGTCCATCCATGTATTAATATTTCTGAATTATAAAGGAGAGGGTTTTTGACCCTTTTTGTAAGATGGCTCCAACTCCTCGACACATCGACTCACACTCCGAACAGGCATTTTACTTTAGCATTTCATCAACACAATCGCAGACAATTAGTCTATGACAGTCTGCCTCTTATCACGCAGTGCTCGGTGACACCTCTCCAGTGAGAGGTGACGGTAATCTACATCACCTGAACACCTCTGTCAGTATCCATACAACCAGTCAGAGTCCCCGCCTCATGAGTCTGTGAAAGCATGTGTGTAAATGTGTGTTCGTACTCTGGTGAGCCATTACAGAGGGTGTTGGCTTAGCAACTGTCACAAACACTTCACGGCCACTCAAAAGCCAGAGAGCAAGGCACCTTAGGTGCTTACTTAAAAAGCCTGTGAAAAAAACATAACCCATAAACATCCTGGAAACTCTGAAAACTTAAAAGGAAAACAATAGAAAAGGAAAGTGTGCAATAACAGGCCAGCCTTTGCTGCAGAATTGGTGTCAGTTGCAACAGAAAGGCAGAGAAGGCTATTTTATCGGGTGTGTGTAGCATTGCTAAAACAGCTGTAATCCTTTCCTCCACAATGCAACAGAAAGTCTGCTCACAACACGAGATTTGCCACATCATTCTGGTCAACGTGTGTGATCATGAATAAAGTAAGAGTGTGTCTTTTTAGCCGTGGCCTGTGGATGTTTATAAAGAGACTGATTAAGGACTTCGGTGTGTTTAGATCTCACAGGATGTATGTGAAGTTTGCATATTTCTGTGACAGCCTCCACATGAAAGGCGATACTTGGTGAGCGAAGCCTTCGCAGTGTTGTGGATAATTTGTTAAGTTACAAAGCTGACAAAATCTTCTAATGATTTTCCAAGTCTGACTTTGAAGAAGTCGTTTTTTATAAAGACTAAATAACTTGCCCACTCTGGGTGAGGACTCTACGAGGTTTAACACTGTCCAAGTTACAAAAACATATTTGAAGACAGGAACTACTTTTTCACCAACATTATGTAAAAAGAAATACGAGCCAAACAGAACACTTTTGCCCTAAACAACATTTTACTTTGACTCGTTTTGCCACAGATAATTATTATCTGTGGCACAGAGCCGTCCTACAGATAACAGAGGTCACATTAATCCATATCTTGTCAATCAGTAGCATGTCATAACATGGCAGCCTATCAATAGGTCTCCACCTTGTGGCTACATTCAACATGACATTGCAGTGTGGCAGAACTGCAGGTATCACTCACAATACATTTATAAATTATCCTGGACACACAATAGAACCAACTACATTTTTCTTAAAACATCATTAATTAATATACTCATTAATTTTTTTTATCATAATATTAATAATATTATTTGATAATTGTTAAGATAGTTAAAGTCATATTATTATGATTAGTACTTGCTTAATATTGCAATTATGTATCCTTCATTAACTGAACTGCACAATCACAATTTCCTCACTAGTCTTATGTGTCAGTACCATGTGTATTTTTATATCATCCAGCTATGAAAGTAAATTTTGTTGCTTTAAAAAAAAAATCATAGGTTTGTACAGTCTTGATATATATTGTGATAATGTGATTACATGAATTTTGATGGACATGTAGGAGAGTTTCAGCAGTAGCTAACAGCTGTAATGGACTGATTCCCACACCGTTAAAAAGATTCGACCCTGAAAGAAGGCACGGGTCAGTGCCAGGCTTTTTAAACCTGTGATAAACACAGGCACTGAAAGAACAACATTAAAAGGAGCATTAGGTGTTGAATCTCTTTTGCAATCTATTCTGTACTGCAAAGAGAATTCTTGAAGTGGCCACACTTGCCCGTGAAGATGTGGGTCAATCACTGCCACTGCTGTGTTTTAGTTTCTACTCTTTTTTTCCATTTTCTCCGTAGCCTTTACTCACAAAAAGGTGGACATGCCTAACATAGTACTCAGACATGATACGAGCTGTAAGAAGTGCTGCTATCTGTATCAAAGAACCCATAACATGGTCAACATCGCCAGCTAGTGGACACGGACCTACACTGCAACACATTCTTGACTTTAAAGCATGAAGTGATGATTAGGTTAGATCCAGGTTAGCCACAGGGGTTCATAAGAACATATTGAGTTGTTTAAGTTTATTTTAGTAAGCTTCATTTGCAATATTACTTCTTAATATCTTCGAACCTACTTGAGTGATTTTATTTCATTCTTGCTTCTTGTGTGCATTTCAAAGAATGTGACTATAGTTGTGTACAGTTTCATTATTTTTTCAACCATAAAGATATAAAATATCCAAAACATTTTCTTGACAATTTCAATTAATTCAATTTGCAAGATAACTAATAACTAATAACTAGATAACCACTTGTGGGGATAGGTTAATTGATTAATCTAAATTGTCACTAGGTGTGAATGCGCGAGTGAATGTGAGTGCGAATGGTTGTCTGTCCCTGTGTGTTAGCCCTGCGACAGACTGGCGACCTGTCCAGGGTGTACCCCGCCTTTCGCCCTATGACAGCTGGGATAGGCTCCAGCGCCCCCCGCAACCCTGAAAAGGATAAGTGGAAGCGAATGGATGGATGGATGGATGGATAGATAACCACTAGCAAACACTCTGGAAAAAAAGAAACGTTTTCCAACACAGCTATCATGACAGCACATTACAGTAGAATAAATGGACACCATTGGTACTTCAATTTTAACAAGCCAGCATTTCATTCAATGAACTGCCAACAAGTATTTTGGCTATAGCAAGTTACAAATTAATATGCATTTTTTAGTCAGATCCTGTCAGGTCCAAGAGTAGCAAATGTTCGTAGCCAACATTTGAGTTCTGAGCCCAGTAAGTGCACAGTTTATTTCCTCCAACTGCACAAGCTTAACAAATGCTGACTGCTGACATAGTAAAAGGTGTGTTTATTTTAATCTTTCAGATTGGCAATATTGGTTGATGACACTCTCAAAAAAGGAGTATCACTAATGAGTCACAGAAAATCACACAGACATATTTATAGATGAGTTATCTACACTTTGTAATTTGAAAAGCTTCACTTTCTTTAGAAAGGTTTAAAAAACTTGCTCACCAGTGAACTAACTGATGCTTACACTGAAAACAAACTGAAGTGATCACAGCTATGAAAAGTTAAGGCAGAAAAGGATCAAGTAAAAAAAAAAGGACCAATTAGATGCAACTTACAGATACGCTCCAGATCTGCATTCCATCAGTATAGCCAATCATGAGGCAGAGTGGAGGGTCAGTAGTGCCACTGTGCATCTCCATAAACTCTGGGTTGCGTGCAGTGTCTTTGCAAACAGAAAATGTGTAATGAGCAATAGTAAATAACAGTAAAGTTAAAACTTATAACACTGTTACAATACATTGTTGGAAAGGCATAACGTATTATAGACTTTTTAAAGTTTTAAATTAGTAGATCAGTGTATACACAGAGGATGACTACAGCTTTTCAATATTTGAGTCATGAGTTCATACCATTAATGTCAGCTTTCTCAAATCGAACCCAAATGATTTTCTCTTTCTCATCAGTGGGTGGAGCCCCAGTATATGCCTGTAGAAAGAAAGAAGGCAAAACAGACGCAGCAAAAACATGAACAACACTGAGGAATAATACTAAAGGATGCAAGACCTATCTGCAACACTGTATTTGCATTTGCATTTTCAACCAGGCCCTCCCTGTTGCCTTTCTGGTTTCTAATCAATGTACATCGAGTATCAATAAAACTGATAAAATTAGGGACAGGCTGTGAAAATATTTAGCATTTGTTTTCAGTGTGGTTTTTCAATGTTGTATGCTAATTGCTAATAATGTTATTGTCTATTCAGTAAAAAAACTGAATTAAAAAAAAAAAAAGAGGAAAGTTACCTGAGGTACTACATCCTGCAGAAAGGTCACAACACTCTCCATGTAAGACTGCTCCCTGTAAAAACAAAAAGCTCATAACAAATGTGCAGAATGCATTGGAATTACACCCTAACATTAATGCATAGGGTTTTACATGAGCAAAGCAAAAGTAAGTATCAAATGGATGTACAGTCAAGAATAGCCCCTCATTTCTTTACATTTTGCTTTCAAAGAGCTGGACTTTTTGTAATTTTTGAAGTGTTCTTGAGCAGTAGTTCACCCGTCTTTCTAGGGGTCTTTCAGTTTTTTTCCAAAGAGCTTTGAGCTGAAAACATGATCTCGGCATGATGCGGAGTGTGTCCTTGAAAAAATGGAAAACGCTGGAGTATGCCAGACTACACAAAAACTGGACCAAAAATCAACAGCAACACAGATGTGTTAGTTAAATCAACTACTGAGTGAATAATCCAAATTTTAAATTCTTGATACGTTAAAGGCAAAGAACAGTGTATCACAGTCATCTGTAAAACACAATGGAGGCTCTTCCATAGTTTGGAACTGCATTTGACCAGTGGTGTAGCAAATCTTGTCTGGACCTCAAAATAATTGAAGTAATGTTGGATCATCTTGTCAGGAAATGAAACAAAAGGAGTGAGTGAACAAACAAGAGCTTTGAAATATCCTTAAATAAAAGTGCTCATACCAAATATTGACTATCAAGCTTGTGAGAATTGTACAAAGTTTGTTTGTGCCATATATGTTTGCACATGTTTCAATAAATCGCTGCATCTATTTTAATAGCAAAATATCAAGTAATGAGGGCTGGCTTAAGATTTTGTACACTACTGTGTAAAAACACTTAAAGGAGGCTCAATTCATGAGATCACATGAATCATCAAACATCCAATTTCATCAAGTACACCATTTCTTATCCTTGGTATTTAGAAATACAGTGCATGTGTTTACTCATAGATGACAAAGATGTGTCCTTACGTAGCAGCTTGTGCTCGCACCAAAACCCCCCCAGCACAACGACTCGGTCTGCGCGGAGAGTCCGAGGCCATTTTGTCCTTTTGGTTTGATATTCTGAAAAGATAAAAAGAGACATTTAGCAAGCTGGACTAACTTGACCTGACAAACAAACTGAATGTTGAATGTATACACTGACATGAAATAAGCAGTTACAATGTGAGAAAAGAGAAGTAGATTTAGGTTTTTAATCTAGATGGTAAAATCCAGCAGAATGTTGATTGTAGAATATTGATTCTTAAATAAATATCTAAGGTTAGCTTTTTGCTTCTTTGCTTAGTTCAAAAAGCATTTTCAAATTACAAAGATCAGAACAACAAAGTCTAGTAACAACAACAATGAAACCATAGCCAAAAGGCACTGGGCTTATTTATCCTACCAAAACAATAAAAAGACAGTGAATCATGCAAATATAATTTTAAATGTCTACAATGTTTGGGTGAACAGTAGACTGATGGCTGCGACAGCCAATTGGAATTTCCCCAACCAGAAATGAGTGTTTTCTAAAACTACACTTTATTAGGATCAAAAACAAAAAAACAACAACATCAGTGTTTTTCAAGGTTCAAGGTTCTTTATTTGTCACATGCATAGTTATACAAGTATAACACACAGTGAAATGTAACCTGACACGCTCCTCGACATGTGCAAATGTTTTCCTGTTTCCTGTTACATTTGGTTTGGAACTGAGCACAGCATTTTGTTGTATTATTTATGCATTACATTTCATGCAGGTGTTATAAATAGTTTAAAAGTTGATGATCATTGCGCCACTCATTCAGTACCAAACCATTTTATTTTCAAGATTAAAGCTTTTTAATCATGATCATTATTTTTATACATGCGACACATTATGGTGGAGGGAAATTACATGGCTTAAACTATAAACATTCTTGTTGTTAGGCAACAACACCAACCAAGCTACTTTTCTGCTAAATTCAAACTTGAATTGTCATATAGACAAGAACCACTTTTTACTGTCAGCTTATGATTCAAGGAGGCATACCACACCCTCCAAGATCTTCTCAAAGCAGTATTGACTGCAGAGAACCCCTATTATTGAACAAATGACACTGCAAGAGTTTCTAAGACCACCCGGGCTAATGTAGACATGCATCCCTGGGACTTAACACAGAGAGGAAGTAATATATGAATTGATATAGTAAGTATACCAGCTCATATACTACAACAAGTTAATGGTAAACTAGTACCTGGACATACAGCGGGTAAAATAAGTATTGAACCCGTCACCAATTTCAAAGGTGCTATTGACATGAAATTCTTACAAGATGTTGTTAACAACCCATCCAATCCATACATGCAAAGAAATCAAACTATAGTTGTTCATAAATTAGTGTGATAATGTGAAAACACATCGTTTTTCAAGTTTTGAACACATGAAAAAAGGGAGGTGCAGCTGTTTTTAAGCATATATCACTGGCACGATTCATACAACTGAAGTAAGGATGAATGGAAAAATGTGTCAAGATATTCTTGATAAAATTCTGCAGCCATTTACCAGGATGATAAAGATAAAATAAGGGTGAAAGTTTAAGAAAGACAATGATCCCAAACACACAGTCAAGGAAACTCTCAATTGGTTTCAGAGAAAGAAATAAAGCTGCTAGAATGCCCAGACCTGAATCTGAATCCAAATCTATGGAAAGAAGCTGAGAGTTCATAGACGGGGCCCAAGGAACCTTTGGAATTTGAAGACTGTCTGTATGGAAGAATGAGCCAAAATCACACTTGAGCAATGCAAGTTTCTCCAGACAGGAGGTGTCTTGAAACTGTCATCACCAACAAAGGCTAAGGCTGTCACCTTCTAGGTAAGGTGTTCCACATGTCCTACCAGGAGGTAGGGCTGTGCGAAATGAGGAGAATCTAATATCGCAATATTTTTTGGCTACATCACCATACACTATATATCGCAATATGTTTAAATAACCTCAGAAAACAAATGTTATTTGTGAGCATATAGTGCCTAAAATTGCACTGGTTTACTACTCAAATCGACCGTTCCATGTATATTACAAAAAGTCTGAATGAATAGAAATTAGAGCTGGGCGATATGAGATTTTTTCATATCACGATATGTTTTTTTCATTTCAGGCGATAACGATATCTATCACGATATAAGCCAAATAACTATATTTGTAAGATTTAAATGTGCCGTTGCTCACAAGTAAAATGTGAAATAATCAGCAGCTTGTTTTATTTAAATATTTATTTCCCATAATAAGTTCAACAGGGTAGATGTACTTAAGGAACATGAGACTTTTTCAGATAAATAAAGGCAAATATTGCAAACTACACAAAAGGCAGCCGCTAAAGCGTTTAAGTTTCAAAATAGAACAAACGAAACAGACTAAATTGTCAATTCCACTTAGAAACAAAATATTAATTCTAAAAATAAATCTTAGTTTGTTTTACAGAAGAACAGACAAAACTGACTAACTTTTGTCAATATCAAATAAACTGAGAACTAAAAGGAAATTCTCAATCTCTCCTTGTTGTATAGCTTAGCTTTTCAAACAGTTTTAACAGTTACTTTAGTCTGACAAAAGCCGAATGACGAATTAGCGCTTCCAGTCAGAGACTGAGGCTACGTCACACGTCCGGGTATTTTTGAAAACGGAGATTTTCCGTTTTCGTTAAAAAATAATCCCGTCCACACATAAAGGCAGAAATGAAGGAAAACGCTGCTATGAACATGCCAAAGCAGCAGGTGGCGCTAGATTCCTAACCGTGCAGAAATGTTGGCCAATCAGAAGTCTAGAAGCCTCGGTGGGAAAAAGTAAACAAAGCTGGGGCATAGAAGCAGAACCGAGTCGTATGTGTGGAGGGACAGTAACTGTGTGTATATGTAAGCATTTAAACACTGCAGAGAGTAGAATTAACAGTAACAGTATTGTAGAAATTCATTTCACCGAAACAATAACGTGGCGCACAGTGTGACGCATGCACCAGTTTATTGTATTTCCAGACTTGCTTTCGGCACAATTTACAGTGCACGCTACTCTGTTTTTTGTCAGACTTGAAATAGCCGAAATACCTTCACACTACGGAACTTCTATGGCTCTTCCGTTCGACAATCTCTCCGGCATTGGAACCATCATCTGTTTTCTCTTCGGTCACGCTCGGTTGATTTTTCTAGTCGGCACACTCATTTCCTCCATTACCCGCTGGCTGCTTCCCAAACAAACACACGTGCGGCTTGGCACTTGTGCTGTACGTAACAAGTCACGCGACGTGACGCTGCGGCTGTGATTGGTTCGGCTCTGCGCTACTTAATTTGGATTGGCTGTTTTTTTTTTTTTTTTTTTAAGAGGACAAGAGCGGCGAGGTCTATCGCGATAGCTTAATTTCTCTATCGAGTAAAAGTTATATCGCGATACATATCGTTATCGTTCTATCGCCCAGCTCTAATAGAAATGTTTTATTTTAGACATTTTTTTTAACCATCAGTTGCACAAAGAGGTTTCTCACAAACAACAATACTGTCACAGTATGTCTCTCTCTGTGGTCAAGACTAGAAATTAAAAGGGTGCTCTTTTGTGCTTCCAACATATAAAAAAATTGATGACCTCAAATATTTTTTTTTGTGGTGTGTGGAGAGACGCTGACATGCGGAGTTTAAAACAGTCTTAATTTTGCAGTGGAATAAATTCCTGGTACTGCTACCTTTAGTGGCAATAGTTTTATGGCATGTTTTGCAAAATTAAAATTAAAAAACTAAAACAGGCTTCAGCTTATAACAATAAAAAAACAAATTCTTTCAAAAGGGTAGTTGGAAAATCCAGCACTGAAAGCAGAAATTCAGAGTGACTAAAGTAAATACACCAAGCATCACAGACGTATTAGTTAAAAAACCTGTAATCAGTGAATCTAAGATAAAAACACCTATAAAACCCAGAGTATAAATGGGGTTGTTGCAAAATCTGAGCTTCTGGGAGAGCACAGACAGTAAGATCTGACAGTGTTCTGACAGTAAACTTACAGAACAGAAGTATGAGGATTTTAAGGTGTTGTCTTATACCTAGTACACTTCGGCAAAAGGTATAACATGGTCTTTATAAGACAGCTAACATTTATAGATCCTACCATGAATTCCCGTGGATAGTCCAAATCAGCTGGTAAAACAATAGGACACACACTCTTCCACACAGCCTAAGCAAGCTGTGGAATTATTCCACAGAATTATATCCTGTGATTATATAATTCCAGCTGTGGAATTATATTTCAAAGCTAACCTCTGAGCACCAACAGGATCTGAGGAGCTGGACATGGGGCCAATGGATACAGCTGCCACCATGAATTTGAACCAGAGAGCCGGGTGCAGCTATATACCACGATAATACTGAAGCAGCTGTTTGCTATGCCCCTAGTAATACAAATACATTCTAGGTCTGACAATTTATTTAGACTGCAAACTATGTATACTACACATGCTAATACCAGTGCCTCGACACTAACAAAAACTGGCTTGGCGAAATGAAGCATCCCTATAAACTAATGACACAGGGTCTTTATGCATTTAGCCACTTAGTAAACCACATTCAGTTATCCTTCTTTTGTCTTTGGAAGCATTCCCAAGCAACTACCGGGGCTAATAAGACCAGTCGAAAACCGTTATAATCACACAGGGCAAAAGCTTGTGTGGCGGTAGAGACAAAGCTACATACAGTAAACAACATGCCTGAGAAGCTTGACATTCCTAGCCTCCGTTACATACACGAAACTCTTATTCTGCGAGCTAGTACCACTAGCAGCTAGCGGACCCATTCGGGTGACAATTGTAACAGCTGTCAAGGGAACACAACACAGCCATTGGCTAACGCGAAAGTTATCTCACCAGATAACATACGGCTAACATAGCTAGCTAGCATTAGCTGATGAAAGTCCCTTATAGTGTTAGAAGAATAGAGTTAAAACCCAACAGCTGGAGATACATTTGTCATGTTTCAATAAAGCATTGTGTTTTATAGCTAGCAGCTATAGTTACGAACCGAGGAGCTGAACGCTGACAGTCTCCTTGTGTGTACACTTCGTGGTGCTCTGAAGCTCTCTGCAAAAAACAGTCAAAACACAAACAGACTAGATTTGCGGAACTGTGTTGTGTCATTGAAAACCAATCAGATCACGGATACGTTCTCGTCAAACCAATCAA